CCATTCTCCCTTTACCCTCCCTGTTTTGCCACTCACACCACTGGTCCTATAGGGCTCATCCATCCTGGATTCCCTGTATTTTCAGTTCCTATCGGATTTGTTTCTCTAGTCAACCTAGAAAAACAAATTTTAAAAAAATTTTTCTTCGTGGCTCCAGATTTTTCCAGCTTCAGGCACAAACCACTAGTTCAAAATTCAAAACGCCAAAGGGTTCCGTTTTTCTTCAGTCTGTCAACAGTCCTATAGGAAAGTCTCTTCAAATATGAATGTCAGGACACTCAAGACACGGGGTGCGGCTTGTCTTTTCAGAGCCTTCTGTGCAGGCTTGTCCTATACCCATTTAAAGATCCAATTTAATGTGGAGAGGCAAGTAGGCTTACAAACTCTCTATTTTTACTTCCCAATAATCATGTCTATCACACATTCTAACAGTAACAATAGGCAAAAGAAAACAGCATAAAGTTAGTACAGCCAGTTCCTAAACTCAATTCTTAAAACAGTCAAATTCAATCCTTATCTAAACTTATCTTAAGCCGTATCTAAACTTTCCTTTGATATGAAATATGTCCTTAGGCCTCTGACTGCATTAAACCAGGGCGGGGCCTTCTGTCAGCCATTTTGACCTTCTGTCAGCCATTTTCACTAAGCCACATGGTCTCTGAGAAATTCAAGGGGCAATTTCACCCTCCAAAATAAACATTAATCACATTCATTTTTTAATAACCAACGACAACAATCAAAGAAATAATCAAAACTTTTACTTTCCATATTCATTCCAGGAAACAAAACAGAAAACTACATGGCCATATCTGACCTCTGGCTAGCCAAAGAAGAAAGACTACCAGGAGGCAGAGGCCAAAGAGCATCCACTCTCCATCTTATGATTTGTTTCTCTAGTACCTCACTCCCAGTACCATAATGTGTTAGGCTGAGTTGACTAGAGTAACAAATCCAAGGACACTCACGTATATGTTAAGAGAGAACTTTATATCAAAGAATAACTGTAAAATGAGAAAACATCCCAACCCAGTCAGGATCATGTCCATAAGTCTGATATTAGCCCCTATGTCTGATACTAGTCCATAAATTCCTCTCCAGACTCATGCAGCACATGCAGGAAGATCACAGGCAGGTGGGTGAAAACTTCCAGATCCAATGGTGGTGGATGCATCTCCAGGGTTCTGGATACCACCACCAGCATGGCTTCATGTGACTTGCCAACAGGGAGGTGAAACAGAAAGAGAGTGTGGCCTGCCTCAGGGAGAAAGAAAAGTTCCCAGAATCCACAGGAGAAGGCCATGCCCACATGGAGACATCATCAGGTTGTGACCTGATTGCCAGGCTAGACTCCACCCTTTCACTCTTAATATTCTCAAGTGGACATAAGATTATTTAACTACCACATCCACACAGCCAATGTTTTGCATAATCAATAAAACAGAAGTAAACATCTTTTCTGGCATTCTCTGCTTTAAGCAAATATCCACCTGCCATCAACAATTATGCCACTTGTTCCTCATCCTCTTTGGAATCTGGCCTGAACTTCTGGCAGCTCCCTGTCAATATACTGGTGCAACTGTTGTTGGATGATCACCAGCAAAATCTTACTGCCATGTGATATCAGTTATTTTGTTCTATAGTTGAGTATTCTGTTGGATCACCTTTCTTTGGAATAGGTACAAATATGGATCTCTTCCAGTCAGTTGGCCAAGTAGCTGTCTTCCAAATTTCCTTGTTTAGATGAATAAATACTTCCAGTGCTTCATCAGCTTGTTGGAGCATTTCAATTCGTATTTCATTAATTCCTGGAGCCGTATTTTTGGCTGATGCTTTTAGTTCAGCTTCAGCACCATTGGTTCTTGCTTATATGCTACCTCCTGAAATGATGGAATGTCAACTAGGTTTTGGTACAGTTACTCTGTGTAGTTTCCATTTTCTTGATGCTTCTTGCATCATTCAATATTTTGTCCAAAGATTCTTTTGATATTGCAACTTGGGACTTGAGTTTTTTTCTTGAGTTCCTTTAGTGTAAGATATGCTGAGCAAAAAAAAAAAATACATATATATGCTGAGCATGTTCTTTCCTTTGGATTTTCTAATTCTACGACTGCACATTTCATTCTATTTGGATGTCTTCTTGAGCGGCCCTTTGACATTTTCTATTCAGATCTTTAATTTCATCCTTTCTTCAATTGACTTTAGCTACTCTGTGATAAAGAGCAAGTTTCAAAGTCTCTTATGACATGCATTTTTCTTTTATTTCTTTTCTCTTTTTAATGAACTTTTACATTCTTCATGAATGATGTTCATGATATCCTCCCACAGCTCATCAGATGGTCTAGCATTAGTGTTCAAAGCATTAAATCTATTCTTGAGATGTTCTTGAAATTCAGATGGGATAGACTCAAGGTTGTATGTTGGGTCTTGCAACTTCTTCTTCAGCTTTATCCTGAATTTACATATTAACAATTGATGGTCTGTTTCACAATTAGCCCCTAGCCTGATGTTAGCTGCTAATATTGAGTTTCTCCATCATCTCTTCCAACAGGTATAGTCAAGTTGATTTTTGTGTATTCCATCTAGAGTCGTGAATAGTCACCTTTTTGTGTTGATGAAAAGGTATTTGCTATGAATAAGTCATTGGTTCTGCAAAGTTCTATCCTGTGATCTCCAGGTTCTTTCCAATCACTGAAGTCCTTGTTTTCCAACTCCTTCCTCTATGTTCCTAACTTTTGCATTCCAATCACCAGTAATCATCAATTACATCTTGATTACATGTGTGATCAATTTCAGAATGAATATATTGTATAATAACTTCCACTTCTCTATCACTAGCTTTTGTGATGGGTACATACATTTGAATAATAGTTTATTGATTGGATTTCCTTGAAGGTGGATAGATATAATCCTACCACAGACAGCATTATACTTTGTGATTGATTTAAAAATGTCTCATTTGACAAGGAATGCCAAGCCATTTCTCGTGTGTTATTCCTGGCATAGTAAATCATATCATATCCTAATTAAAAATGACCACTACCAGTCCATTTCAGCTCACTAATGCCTGGTATATCAATCTGTATGCATTCCATCTCATTTTTGATGACTTCCAATTTTCCTAGATTCATACTTCACACAAGTTCCAATCATTAGCAGATTTTTGTAGAGGTTTCTCTTTATCTTGAGTCATGCTCCACCAGCAAATGATAATCCTGAAGGCTCCACTCTCACAGGTTTTACCCGACTTACGTTACCACAGTTAACTATACTCCACAAAATCAATTCCTCTTTGGTCACATTTGAGTTCCGTCCGACCCAGTATCTCCAAGAACATTCTGCTTTCATTCATTAGGCCTTCAGTTCTGACAATGTTTTAAAGCTGTGCATAAGGTTTCAGCAGCTCCTTCCTCAGAAATGGGCAGCTAAGTCCTTCTTCTTTGTCTGTAACTTTTAGTCTCGAGGCTCTGCTGAAACCTGTCCACTTTAGGTGACCCTGCTGACAATTGAAATACCAGTGACACGGCTTTCATAGTCACAGCAATACACAAACCACTTCAATATGACAAACTGACAGACGGGTGTTAGTATAAAGATTGACAATCTCTGAAATCCTAAGGAGCAGTTCTACTCTGTCGTGTAAGATTTCTAAGAATCAGGATTGATTCAATGACAGGGAGTTTTATGCAGTAGCCTCTCAGCTCAGCATTTCAGATATAAGCAGGCCTAAGACAGTCTCTATGAATGGGGATGTTACACAGGGTTGGCTTTACGGGAAAGACTTGTGCTGTGGAATAGGCCTAGAATGTGGAGAGACTCTGACTTGGGTTTAATGTCCTGTTGTCACTGTCTTGCATTTCTCAGTAATTTTACCTTCGAACTTGTAAGTTAAGTATGTCCACTTCCTAAGTGAAGTCTGATGGGATAAAGGATCATGCATGTCAGAGGAAATACTCAGAATCAAACAAACAAACAAACAAACCCTAAATTTTGATACTCCTGATGACTCCTGATTTTTCAGCAAGGAACCTTGTATTTACATATTGTACTGGGGCCTGCAATTGATATCACTGGTCCTGATGACATCAAGGTCCCCGGGTGGCACAAATAGTTTTGTCTTTCTCTTACTTTGGAACCCATTTCATGAAAATATGAAATACATGCCCCATAATCTGTTTCCATAAAGATGACAGCCAAGAAAACTGCAGGGGGCAGTTCTACTCTTGTTACATGTGGTCACTTCCGGGCAACAAGTTCTGTATTGATCGTTGTGGTGGCAGTGAAGCAGAAGTGATTGGCTATGAAAGGCTTAGTGGTAAATTTCAAGAAAGCAGGATACTGAAGTTGGGTTTTAAAGGACAAAAAAGGAGTTTGCCGGGTGACAAGCGTGCTGCAGACAGGGGATGCTAGGGAAGCAGCCGCTACCTTCCATAAAGGCAAGCTCCCCTATGTGTACAATGATTTATTCTGGGTTATGTTTTAAAGGCTCATAGAGACTCTGCACATCCTCCATATACATACACTGCTTTTGTGTGAAGGGCTCTGGTGGCTTACAGGGTTACAAGTTGGGGCGGTAAACGTTGGGTTAGCAGTTGCAACCCACCAGCTGCTCAGCAGGAAGAAGAAAAGGCTTTTTGTTCCCATAAAGATCTACAGCCTTAGAAACTCAAAGGGGTGGTTCTATCCCATTCTATAGGGTCGCTATGAGTTGGAATAGGCTAGACGGCAATGAGTTTGGGTGTGTGCATAAGAGAGATGGAGATGGAGTAAGTAGGCAAAATTCCATTTCCTGGGTTTGTTCTGGCAGCGCAGACCCCAGGCACTACTTTGGTTTGGATCTGTTACCTGGCTTTGTGTTTGTGCCCCTGATAGGGAAGGGCTCCTGAGTGCGGGGGTGCTCCTCTGGGACCACAGCGCGGGGCAGCAGCTGCCAATGAAAGGTTTTCTCGTCGAACGTGCTCCAGTTTGCTAAGCCGCAGAGTTTCTCTATTGCCATCAGCAGGTGCCTGCCGCAAAGCTTTCTGGGCATGGTGGCGCTGCTTAGCTCAAGGGAGAACAGCACCATCAGGAATCCGAACTGCAGGCGACACAAGCAGCAGGGACGAGGACGCGGCATCCCTGGGTCGCCAACAAGCCTGGAGGGTCTCCTAACGGCAAGCCAGACGCCTAGCCCTGCTCTACGCCTGCGCGTACCCGGCGGGCTTCTGGGCGGGTGCGGATCTCGCGAGAACTGCAAAGAGAAGCGCGTGCTGGTCTCGCGAGAACTGCGAGGCGGCGGGAACGGGGTCTTTGAGCGCGCGCGCGGTCCTCGCTGAGGGAAAACCTGAGACCGCGACAACGAAGTTGGCGGCTCCGTGCTGCAGCTCTCCGGCCCCAGAAGGTAGCGGGCTCGTTTCTTAAAGCAAAGGTCCCCAGTACTATTTCCTCGCCTTCCTCAATGGATGACTCTTCCAGTGGCACACGGGAATGTGCCTCCTCCCGCTTCCCTCCACTACTTGGACTGCATTTTGCACTAACTTGCCTGTGTTTGTCCAGGAGGCCTGGTTTCCTCAAAGAAACCGCCTCCCACTCCCTTCGTCTCTATGCAGTCCTCTTGCGTTCTTGTGTGAGAACGCCTGCCCCGAGGTTCCCGAAGGCAGGGCCAGGGCCCTTCTTGCTTCCCGCCCCCTGGCAAGTTGCGCCAGCATTTGCAACATGCAGGCACGATTCCTAGTAAGTCCAATGTTTCAGAAAGCTGCTCCGTTCTAGGGGAGAAATTGGCCTTAACCTCTCTCTCCAGAACAAAGGCTTAGGGCTGCTGTTCGGAGGGACCTTGGATGGAAACCTAGTTCTTCCAGTTACAGATCCCAGTTGATAAGTCTACTGTCAAATTGTAATTGCTTTGTGATAGTCGACCCCCTACGATGGTCCTCCTAAGTGTACCAACATGATGTGCATTTTTAGGGGGGATAATTTATCGAGTTAATGGGAGAGAGCAGGGAAGTGAAGGGCAATGGCCCTAGATGACTTTATCATTTTAAATAAATGTATTCTAGGGGCCTTCCAAAAGTTTTTGGGAGAATGGAATGACGATAATGGGAATATTCCATTTTTGAAGAATTTTGAAACCCCTTTTTGTGTATATGTGTGATGCCTCAGAAAAGGAGCTCTGATGGCACAGTGATTAAAGGGACTTGGCTTCTGACTGAGGAACCCACTAGTTCTCCTTTGTGAGAAAGATACAGCAGTCTGCTTCAGCCCCATGGTTCTACTTGGCTCTATAGAACCACTGTGTTAGGCTGGTTTTGTAGAGAAGCAAAACCAGTGACACATTTATATATGAATGTAGAAAGAAATTTATGTCAAGAAATGGAATGCACAGTTGTAAAAGGTAAGTCCAGTCTAGTTCAAGTTTATGGGTCAGTTGATAAGTTGGAGGCTTCTGCTGACTCATGTAACTGCTGGGGCTGATGAGTCAGGAAACAGGAAGATGTAGTTAAAAAAAAAAACCATAAACTGATGGATGCAAGATCAAATGTATCCAAGGTTGGCAGTCTGATGATGAGCTCTCAAGATCAGCAAGCTTTATGGCAGAAGGTTGATGAACCAGATGCAGGATCCAGATCTAGTAGAAGTGACAAGCTTTCCCACAGAGCCTGCTTAATAAAGAGCGGAGCACATCCTCGATGAGTATCTTCCAGTTGCATCCAAGTCTGTGACCTAATCAAGGGGCTGAGCTCGACAACTGCTAGATGCTCAGAGCTAATTGTGTTATATTAGATCCCATCATGGAGTTGATTACATTGTGTTAGATCACTTCATTGGGGATTATTGCCAAACTACTGACAGCTCCGGCCCAGCCAACTTGACACAAAACCTAACTATCACAGTCTAATCTTTGGTTAAAAGCTAGATTATATGAGGAAGAATGTGGCATCAAGCTTGGAGGAAGGCTTATTAATAACCTGTGATATGCAGATGACACAGTCTTGCATGCTGAAAGTGAGGAGGACTGGAAGCACTTGTTGATGAAGTTCAAGGTTTGCAACTTTCGTGTGGATTACAACACATTGCAAAGAAAATCAAAATCCTCCTGACTGGACATCATGATAAGTGGAGAAAAGATTGTTTGTTTTTTATAAATCATTTTATTGGAGGCTCTTACAGCTCTTACTACAATCCATATATCAATTGGGATTTTTTAAATCATTTTATTGGGGGCTCGTGCAACTCTTATCACAATCCATACATACATCCATTGCGTCGAGCACATTTGTACCTTTGTTGCCATCATCTTTCTCAAAACATTTGCTTTCTGCTTGAGCCTTTGGTATCAGCTCCTCATTTCCCCCTCCCTCCCTGCTCCCCCCTCCCTCATGAACCCTTGATAGTTTATAAATTATTATTATTTTGTCATATCTTACACTGTCTGACATCTTCCTTCATCCACTTTTCTGTTGTCCATCTGCCCACCAGGGAGGAGGTTATATGTAGATCCTTGTAACCTTTTCCCCCTTTCCAAACCACCGTCCCTCCACCCTCCCAGTATTGCCACTCTCAGCACTGGTCCTGGAGGGATCATCTGTCCCGGATGGGGAGAAAAGATTTAAGTTGTCAAGGATTTTGTCTTGCTTGGATCCACAATCAATGCTCATGGAAGCAGCAGTCAAGAGATCAAAAGACGAGTTGCATTAGATAAATGTGCTGCACAAGACTTCTTTAAAGTGTTGAAAATCAGGGATGTTACTTGGAGGACTAAAGTGCAAGGTGACGCAAGCTATGATGTTTTCAATCACCTCCTATGCATGTGAACGTTGGACATTGAATAAAGAAGACGGAAGAAGAATTGATGTGTTTGAATTATATACTGGTGAAGAATATTGAGAGGACTGTGGACTGCCAAAAGAACAAACGAATCTATCTTGGAAGAAGTCCAACTGGAAGCTCCTTAGAAGCAAGGGTTTCACATGGTGATGCCACCTTGTTAGTGGCAATCTCACCACTTCTCTGTACAGTGTTCTTTTTCTTCTGCCCTCAGCAGGCTAACCATGTCTTTCCCTTCCCCTTTCCAGTCCCCAATCTTTTTGGAGCTGTTAGATTAGCATTTGGATGTTTTTTAAAGGTAGATATAATGTAGTTTGGCAATTTCCTCACCTTCTTTGAAAAACAATGATGCCACTAAGCACTTTATCAGGGAAAGGAAAATACTCATCATGCTTAAAGAAATCTCCAGCAATATGCATCCAAACTCAGCAAATTGGATTAGATTGCTCTTCTCTTTGCACTATTTATATATATGCCTTATTTGTATTTCTCCACTTCTATTCCAATGGGTTCAAACTTAATGATTTTGAAAATGGTTCAAGACCAGCAGTATGTCATTCTGTTATACAAAAGATAGCTGTGAGTAGGAACTGAATCAACAGCACTGTGATGGTTAGATTTTTATGTCAACTTGTTGGTACCTGTCTGGAGGTAGGGGTAGACTCCTACCTGTCACTTAGCTCACAGCCTGATGATGCCTCCTTGGGGATGTGGCCTATTTATAAGGGAGACACTGAGAACTTCTCTTTCTTGCTCTTCTTCATTTTTCTTTTTGCCTCAGTTTGGGTGTCTGGCTCTGGGGTTGGCAGCCCCTGCAGTGTGCTGATCCTGGGAGTTCTGTCATCCTATCATGACTCTGCACTCACTGGCCTGTGACCTCCCAGCTTCCCACTTCACCTTGCTGCTTCGTCTACTTGCAGCTATTTGGGTCTGACGAGGGCTCTGATAGCATAGAACACATGAAGCTGAGTTAGACTAGGCCAGGTTGCTTTCTTGTTACAAAGTTTTCTATACATATGAGTGTGACTGGTTTTGATTCTCTAGAAAACCTAGTCTAACACAGGAACCAAACACAACCTATGTCTGTCATCTGTCTCCTCCTATGAGGACAGAAACTTCCAAAAGGCAGGAATGTCTATATTAGTGTTTGGAAGTTATAAATGAAAAAGTGTATACTTCTATTTTAATTTTATAATTGAACCATTACCGATGAAATGTTTTAATGAATTATGAAGGATTAAGATAATTCATAGGACAAGCATTAGATGGATATAGCCCCGGTGACATAGTGGGTGATGAGTTGGGCTGCTCATGGCAAGATCAGCAGTTCAAAACCACAAGCTAAAGGAGGAGATTGAACCTCTCCATCAAGAGTTACAGTCTCAGACTCACAGGGGCAGTTCTGTTCTGTCTTCTGGGTTTACATTGAGTCAGACTGGGCTCAGTGGAAGTGGTTTTTGTAGTATTCTTGGAAGGCTTCATCTAAGAAGAAGGCATAACTGGGCATTGAGAGACAAGTAGTGGAGAGGCATGGCTGCCATTCCAGGAGTAGGAACAGCATGGAAAAAGTCATGGAGAGAAGGGAGCAAGGCACATTCTATATAGAACAACCTAGCTAATAATTATGTAAAGAATTAGTAAATGAAGGATGACTAGAGAATAAAGGGGTTAAAAAACGCAGACTAAGTGTAGCGCTCCAGCCCCAGGGAGCTACCTGAGACACATGGAATAACTATTGAACACTCAAGATTGAGTCATGAGGGAAAGGGAGAGGCTTTCAAGAGATGACAGTTTACAAAAGTTCAGATGCAGGGGCAATACTAGGGCACAATGACTTCAGGCTCATGATGTTTTCATGATTCATGATTAACACTTTCGTATGACTAACAAACATTGTCATATGATTAACATTCTCGTATGCAAGTGCATTTTGACCTGATGGTGATCTTCATGTTTCAGTGAATCCCCTTATCATTCAGCATTTGCACCAAGTTCCTGGAACATGCAAGCCATTACACACTAAAGGTTTACTCGTAGTCTTTGCACCCAAGTAATCCTCCCATGGGGAGCAGGAAAATGTTTCCCTACAACTAGGAGCTTATATTTTACCCTGTTTATTCAATGGGTATTGTTGTTATGTACCATTGAGCTGTTGCAAATCATAGGAACACTTTGTATATACAACGAAGGAAACACCACTCCATCCTGTGCCTTCTTCACCACTGCTCTTCTATTGAACATATGGTTGCAGTCACTGTCAGTCCATCAAAAGGGGAATAAAATAACGCCTCACTGCCATTAAGTCATGCCAAC